GCATTAGTAGCGTGTAAGTCCAAAACACATAAATATGCATTAATATTTTAAATAATATTAAACTGTTCAAAAAGATATTTTAACTTGACTTAAGGGAAAATGTATCAAAAATGTACGCACCAGGCCAGGCCTCTTATGCAGACTTTCATGGCACAGCTGGAAAATCATTGTGTGATACACAAATTACAACCAATAATGAATACCTGCGCAGTACCTACGTACTGTTGTTTTGGATAAAATTAGACAAATTGACATTAAACCTATACATATAGTAAATGATTTTTATTAGAATATAAACTACTTTCTGCTTACATTACTCACCCTGCTAACCCCTTCGGAGATAAAAACGTGATGTTATGTTACTTTCTGCTTACCCTTACTTACGTTTCTTAGGTTTAATGTTACTCAATTTTAGTCTAATTTTACACAAAGGACCGTACGTATTTGTCGTAACTGAACAGGATTTTTTTATTAATACAAGAACATGTGCCCTAAAATAGTAATGGGTGGGTTCTGGTACCTATTGAATAATACACATGTTTTTTGTTGAATTTCCATTCAAAAGTGAACAAGTTATTGATATTCTAAATGAATATCAATAATTTGTAAACCCAAAATTTGTTGTAGGCACCACTTTTGTAGTATTTTGTCACAATGTACCTATAATTCAATAAATATTTTTGTATTGTATCTTCCCAAAATGATGTACAATAGATCTGCCTATTCCTTACTCCGTCGTATATACATAGAGCTAGTTTACAATTATACCAACCTACCTACAAGAGGCGCATAAGCCAAAGCGTATTTAAACGTTTTTTGCTTTATGATGAGCTGTGATACGTCTTGCTGGAGGTTTATTAATAAGTATAAAATGCTACATAATAATTATTAAGTATAATAATGTAGTGTTTTTGTAGTAATTCACAAAGTACCTACACACTTAATTAGGATATGATTATGTCGTGGCTAGTTTCAACAATGTCGAGTTGATTTGCTGAAATTGCATAACTAACTGCACGTCTCTAATAACAGCATGTACTAGGTATGTATCCAATATATATCCAAGTATTAACCATCGTTCTATAGACTGTTAATGAATAATCTGTCACCGGAAAATAACAAGGACCGAAAGTTTATTAATTTCCTAGGAAAATTATAAATATCCGTACGATTTTAACTCTTTCAGTCACACTTTTAACTGGTTACGAATATATTTTATTTAATTATACGGATATGCTTAAAAACCAATGCAAAGCAATTTGAAGCGTACTTCAAAAATTGAATTTCTAAGAAAAGGTGGTTAGTTACAGTGACCACCAAGACTGAAAGAGTTAAACGAGATAAATTGTATTATTTTACATTGTTGTCATTTTCCGGTGACATATCCATATGAAATTGTGCAATAAAGTCGCCTATTACAATTATGAATTTAAGATGTATTGCTAAATTAAAACAATAAAATATAAATAAATAACAAAAGTGTTTTATTGCTATAACAGAAACATACATAATTAATTAAGTTATACTAAAAGTAGTGAATACATTAGTTTAGGACATATAATATAAATTCATAATAAATTATTACATTTAAAATTATCAATTGTATATTTATAAAAACATAACATTGTGTATACGGAAACTCAACAAATTAATATTGCCTAATACCTAGGTACCTAATTTACCTGCCCAGTAATATTGTTGTATGCAACAAAGATTATTAATATGAAATGGCTCCAAATGTTTTTAATGAGGTGTTTATATAAAATACAAACAATACAATAGCCAATAACACCTTATAGTTGCTGTGGAACATACATAGCAACAATGGTAGTATGTGAACAGTAAAGCGATGTGAATAAATAAACCAATCATTAAAGGTAACTATTTCCCAGTCTAAATATTTGCATGCAGTCCGAATAGTAGAAAACTATGAATTTAAATATTTAAATAAACTCAGTTTTCTACTATTTTTAACAAATAAGCAAACATTATAAGGCTACTTACGACATTTAAAATTATTCAATATCAAAATTAGGCTAAATCCATGGACCGACAAGCAAAAGGCAAAGTTTTAGATTGATTGTTTGATAGTTTTTAACGCGTTTTATTTAGATTTGCCAGTAAGTGAGATGTACAAACCTAAGGTAAGAATTGTCTTAGGGTTTGTAAATACTCAAACGTCACTCAATTTTAAGTCGCGCTTATGTATAGTTTTGTCACTACATACAAATTCTTTGTAAAATGACAGAGATGGCACGATATTTAAGTACAACATGAAATATTTGAGTATTCGGGCGTTAGATACATATAAACTTCAGATAATAAATACCTAGGTACACACCACCCACTATACCCTTGCTATGTGAAATTGACGGGGTACTTTGCGCACCTAAATGAAGCGCACCCAGGCGAAGCGCACCTAAAGTATTCCACTTTGAAAATATTTATTATTTAAAAGACTAACTTAAATATCTAACATCTGTCAGTTTCATTATAATAATCACATTAGTGTGACATTATAATGAAACTGAATGATGTTAGAAATTTAAGTTAGTCTTTTAAATAATAAATATGTTCTTATATCGATATTTTTATTTCTTAGTCTCCGCACTATGCGAGTGATATTCGTAGGTGCGCTTCGTGGAATAGAAAAACTATTTATTTAAAATTTTTATTTTAAGCGCACCTACAGGTGCGCAAAGTGGAATACTTTAGGTGCGCTTCGTCTGGGTGCGCTTCATTTAGGTGCGCAAAGTGGAATACCCCAAATTGACTACCATACTTTAAAGTAGGTACTTAAAATAATATTATTTTTGTGTATTATCTAATTTATCTAATTATGAATGTCTTGATTGATTGAATAGATATGTCTGGCGACCCGAGGAGAGCAAGGCAATTAATTAGGTACAGTTTAGTAATTAGATCAATACATAATGTTACTGAAATCACAATATCAGTAATCCAGCGTCTATGTAAATAAAGCTTGAATGTGATTTCATACGGTTGGCGTAATAGTTAGGTGACCGGCTGTTGTGCAACGTCACGGGTTTGATTCTCGCGCCGGACAAAAACTGATAATGGCATTTTCTAAGTATAATGACCATAGCACGGAACCAGGAAGATCACCGCCGTGCCTCGGAAAGCACGTAAAGCCGTTACTCCTGCGCTTGATCTCTCTCCGGTCGTGTCGGTCTGCCGTCCCCGGGTTCAGAGTGAGAGAACAGAGAGTGCACCTGTGTTTGCGCACACACTTGTGCTAATTATGTCTCCAGCGTAGTGGGCTAATCTAGTTAGACTGGCTACCATGATTGAAATCGATCGGGAGATTTATATATATGTAGACATTTATTATAGACGAAAAACGGACAAAAGGCAACTTTGTATGGAACTAGTGAACTACCTACGTTATCAAGTACCTACCTACACGGTATTACACTCTATTAGACAAATTACGTTATTTCACTTATTCATCAGTTTTGAAATTATTGATTTCAAGGATAATTCAGTTTATAGCTCCAGCACACATAAATATGGCAATAAATAATAAGTAGTAACGGCGCAAATAAATGCATTTGTTATCTAATAGAGCTAATTAATTGCAATATAAGTATGCCCTTTATAAGTAGGTTTAACTCATTAAATTTATTGCTTTAGAAACATGATTATTAAACATTATCATCTTTAGCGTGTTTTTGTGGCAAGGACGAGGCCTAAATCGACTTGCCGCATATTTCTATGTATGTAGGTAGGTATGTACTTAGCACAGAATGGCTTGTTTGTAAATTTTATTAGACACCTTCATCTGGACTTATTTATTGCACAAATACTTTCATGGTGCTCCAATGTGTGTGGCAATTAATTTGAAATGGATTTATTTAACCTTCCAGTGGTCTCACATATCACTGGGATCACAGTGAATTATATTGAAACGCGCCTGAGCTTATCCGCCATATTGGTATACGCACTATTGTAGATGCTTCCTAAGGCCGGGTTGGCTGGGGTTTACAAAGGCGTAGCTGTGATGAGCAGAATGGAGATGTATTTTAATAAACCATTAGAATTTAATGATAATTTTTCTCATCAGCTTAAGTGGAGATTATACTGATTGGTGGTTATACACATCTCCACTCTTCTTCTTTTATCTCCGTTTCGGTGGAGTTCGGGGCTTACATATAAAAAAAATTGTGGCCATTAGAAGGCAGTTATTAATGTCTATACTAATTTAAGTACTATATTTTTTGATATTATCAATTAGCCTACTGAAATAATTTTGTGTTTTATTTTTAATTTATCAATTCTCCAAGCAAATGTATAGCATCTTAATATTATATTATCGCACACTTTGCACACTGCTTTACCAATTTAATTTTGAAAAGAGAATTAAACTGGTGAGGTATACTGTACACAAATATTTCAAAGCTTGTCTTCATAATTGTCTATGTTTACATCTAAATAATATAAATACATGTACATGTAATTAATTATATAAATATGTACATACCTATATCATAGGATAACATTTATAACAAAGGACATCAACATGGTCAATTAAATTAATTTGATGTTTTATTATAGTACCAGCTGCTGTTCAAGGTTCATTTTTACATTCACATGTTCTGATATATGTTTACCAGGGTCCAATAAACATCCTATGTTAAAAATATTATCCTTTTACAACTGTAAACACCATACAAGGGGTAAGTAATAATATTATAAGCTTTCTAATAATACTACCAATGTGTATCAGTATAGCCCACTTCTTTAATTTAATATTGAATAATAAAAAACCTAGCAATGGGACTGCAAAGACATTACTTCGATTTACACATAAGTTTATGAGTTAATTTTTTTTTACTTGTGACAAATAAAGTCATACTCACCAGTGTTCAAGTATTTACAGTATCTTCATTAAATAGTATTAGCCTTGGAACAATATAAGATTTTATCACATTATTGCATTTTGACTAGAAACTGTTTATTTTCTAGATGTACTCTTACTATCAGCCATCTACAGGCGGACCCAAATATATCATTGATACTTCTGTGTTGCCATAGACTGCTGAAACTGTTGGGTATAACTTCTTGTTAGGTAGGCCTGTAAGCAAGTAAATGTTTTAGTTATTGCCTTACAGGAATAGAACATTTCAGCAATGAAGACTAAAATAATTTTATATAGCAGTAGGTGGTTAAGGTATTTAGAAAAAGGATGTCATTTACCTCGAAATGCAACTCCCAAAAATTCATAATTTCTTTCAAATGATAAGGTATTATCTTCACAGTCTAGAATAACTCTTATTCGCTCACCAACCTGGAATGTGATACACAAAATTTTAATCTTTGTAAAATTAGTATATTTTTGACATCGGTCTAACATATTTTAATCTACACCAGTATTACAACAATTTTGCATAAACTAGACAAGTAGTGCCTAAATAATATTTATATAAAAATAGTAGTATAAGACCACTATCATAAAAGTTTTAATGTAATCAGTTACCTACTTAAAACTACACCAGACTTTCACAAATACCAGAACAAACATTTTAAAAATAATAATAAAATAAGTATATTATTAACTTAATAATTTAGTTTAAAGTACTTGTTAGAATTGTATTTACTAGATAGGGAAAAAAAAATCCTGAATAAGGTATCATTTTCATGGGTATGTCTTACCTGGTATTTAGGACAGTTATTCAGGAGAGGATAGTGTCCTTGAGTATCACCATTATGTAATAAATGATTATCAACTAAATTCCAACCCCAACTTTGTTCATCGGATCCCAACAGTCCCACATACCCATGGCATTCCAAGGGTGCATCTTTGGTTGATATACCTACTACAGCTACAGTACCTAAAGGGCCTTCCCATATCACCTCCCAAGCATGCCTTCCATGATAAAAACCAATTTTCCCTCTACAAGCATCAGTACTTTGAGCTACAGGGTTTCTGTAACATTGAATTTATTATAATTATGATACTAATATAAAAATATTAATTTATTTAAAGATGTGTTAATAATACATTAAAAATACACACCTGTGCAATGTAAAGCCATTTGCTTTGACATATATATTTCGAGAACAGTCGTGAGGATTCCAAGCATGAAAATATGCTCTCAATTTAGATTTGTAAGTGCTAACAGTCGAGAGTAAATCAGACTTCAGTACCTCTTCTGCTAATCTTTTAACACAATGTAGTCGCCAAACATCATTATTTTCATCATTAAGAATTCTATACCAAGTTTTACAAACCAAAGCACAGTTACGGAGATCTTTCAAACGAAGATATGAGAAAATATTTTCTAAAATATTGTCAGTATTGACGACGACTGCAACTGCATAGTCGTCATAGAAATCCAATTCATTCATTATTAACATTTAGAAATACAATTGCAGGACAGCGTATTTAATAAAAGTACAGTATATTAAAACGCAATAACTTTTATACACCTCAATTTTACTAAGATCAAGATTATGCGTTTGCGTTTAGTGCTTGCTCATAAATCTCAAAAATGTAAACATGTTAGCACAACAGTCAGACAGACACTGTCAAAAAGTTCAAACAAAATAGATTATACTATAGACATAGACAAAGGACAAAGATAAGGCCGCTGACCATAGATTTATACATTTATCATATCAGTGCTGGCTGCTGATCAAAAAGCCTAGTTGCTATTTACAATCTCGTGTGTTTATTGTCGTGTCGTGTGTACAGTCAAAGTTCGTCCAAATAAACGTTCTTATTCTTTGCTTGACTACCTGCCTGCGCTCCAAGTGATGTATAGCCTTATATTATATATATATATATAATATTCATTATACTCTTCAGATAGCATTCACAAAAAAAAAGCTTTTGAGGAGTATGTAAGTATTGGCTCCATCAGTCAAGCTAATGTTCTAAGAATGTCTGAGGGTGACGTCTGTTTTCCTGTTTTACCTTTTACTTCCTCGGTGACTAAAAGAGATACAAAAAACATGTAAAAAAACGTAGGCAGAGAATCCGATTGCATAACATTTTCTATCTTATCTGTGCAATGCAAAAAAAAAACAAGAAATTGTCAGTGACAGCGTTATTCGGGTGTGTCAAATAGTGTCATGTCAATTCAACCAATGTCATTTTGTTATGAATTTCAGGTTAGTCGTTGATTGATAAGGAATCAAAAACATAATACAGTTTTGGATTACAGTCTTACATTATTTAATATCCATAGGTATGTTCTATAATTAACAATACTCTTTTATATGTATATATGTAGGTAAAACTATTGTAATAGGAATAATAAAGCAGAAACTCTATTTTTTTACAGTTCGTGTAAAAAATTTCTTCAATACAAAATGCCGGCAATTGATTCAGCTTTGAATGATGAGGATTACATTATTGCCAAAGCAAAAGACGCTCAGAAGTATAATATACACTCGGCGAAAGCATGGATGTTAACTGCAAAAACATTATTTCCTGCAAACTTTAAAATTCAATTTGAAGCTTACTTGATGGAAAAGCAATCTGGAAATGTCCAAGAAGCAGCTGAATGTTTTAGTTCCTTAATGAAGTCGAGGCAGAATCTTCCATCTTTATTACCTGAAATATCAGCAATTGCTAATGCTTTAAGATCATCGGAAGGAAGCTTTTTAAGTCAAATGTTTGATAATATTTGTCCAGATATACAATTGACTATACTAAAGACGAGTGTTGAGAATAGTGATGACACAATGGAACACTGCCGTTTACTAGTTTTACTTTTAAAAAAGTTTCCTCAGCTTGGTGTTGATAGTTTAGTGAAGACGTTAATTAATGCTGAAAAATTCTTTTATGACAATCGCTATGCTAGACTTTTAGTAGTAGAAACATTGCCTTTACTCAGTTCTTTAGAATCACCAAGGTTGTTACAACGCTTGGTAATAAAAGCTATAGATTTTTACAACTCTTATGTATATGATGAAAATGAACATGATATTACAGATCCATGGCAAAGACTTTTCGGTGTCTTAGATTTGATGGGGAGGCAATTGGGTTGGGATTCATTTTTTGTAAATTATAGCAATAGTTTAAATAAAGAAACATATTTTCAAAAATTATTGACATTGAGGAACAGTGAAGACTGTCGTCAACTCTTGTACTGTGGAACAACATTCTTTTTGAGATCACTCTATGAACATAAATCTTTAAAAGGAAATCATATTCTCGTAGAGGCCCTCTCGGATCCTGAAGTTGCTCCATCTAAAAGAAGAAAAGGTGATTTGGAAGTTACTGGTATATCATCACATCAATTCCAAGCTGCTGCTAATTGTTGGGAGTTGCTACACAGCAATGATCTTATTTCAAGAGAATTCACAAAACTGGCAAATCAATTACAAACCAAGCCATGGTCTGAAGGCTTTGCCGATGAATTTGCTTTATACAGAGGAAAATATGAAGAAGCTATGCCTCAAGCAACGTAACAAATTTGACAGCTTGTGTAGTTAGAGTGTCTATAAATTATTTCCAACAAAATTATACTGCCTGTATTGAAAGTATACTGGCTGCATTGCCCCAATTACCAAATGTAGAAGGCATTTTAGAACCTGAATTGATTGTAGGGGGAAAACATAGACATCTACATTTCTTGCCTCTTACTAAAGTTGCCATTATGCATTATTTTTGTACATTACTTATTAGAATTTTATTAAACACTGGTAATACCACTGACATAGCATATGGCCACATGCTTGTACTAATGCAACTTGGATGGCCACAGGAAGAAGCTATATTTATTCGTATACTTGATGTCATAAGACAAAAAGGTGTATTTCACTATCACCTTTTCACTTCATACATAATTCACATAGATATATTAGAAGAACTGAGTTTTATATGGAATGAACAGGGAAACAATATTGTGCTCGATATTTTGCCAAACTCTCAACAACATTTGGGACAGCGAAGAATCGGTACCAGAGGAGCAGATAAAGGTGTAAAAGAAGATTTTAAACAAGCTATGAAGGCGCAAGTCGCAAGGAGTAATGAATCTGTGCTAAATGTAATGATACATTTCATTACATCCGAAAGAGCTTTTTTTCTACAATTAGGATAACATTCTGTTAGATGTTAACCTTTCGTCTGCGGGTATATGAGACACAATAGAAAACACATTGTCTCGCGCAGATCTGCAGTCCAGCATATGAAGGGCTAAATCATTCACATTCTATAACATGTGCAGATAGGAGATAAATGAAATAAACCCACTTTTATATAATAATGATTTATTAATAATGACAAAATTAACAGAATCTTAATGATTATAATAGCATGTTAAGGATATAATTTTAAAGTTTAATTACTATAAACTCAAGTGCTCTAAATGCATCGGCAATAGGTAGTGTGTACTTAATAAAAATGTAAATGTAATCTATGCTTTCATTTTATCTTATATTTAATTTTATTCATGAACTTCCTTCATAGGAACCTACAGCAAGCAGAAGGTTGCGTCGGGTGAAATGTAGACCTTTAATAGGCGAATTTTTGGTGGCAAATGAACGCAACAAATATTTGTCCTCCTTTTGTACAGCATTGTTAGTAGAACTGACTTCTTCACCATTAGCTTCTTCCGTGATAGCATTGAAATCCCATAATTTTATGCTACAATCCAAAGACCCTAAAATAAAAATTCATTAATTTAGGAGCATAATTTACTAAGGTACATTTACATATTATAACTATAATAAAAACCACAATTTCTTCCTTGTTTTATGTTAATATGTGGGTAATTAATTACCTGAAGACAAAATGGTGCCATCACGACTGAAGGCCAATGCATGGATAGGAGCAGTGTGTAAAGGTGGCAATATGGCACCAGGTGTACCGGTAGAAATATCCCATACTATGAGTTCACCATTACCGCCTGAGGCGAGCCATCGCCCGCAAACAGAAAATGCTAAAGTAAATATTGTAGACTGAAAAATAAAATAATATTCACAATCATATACACTTCAAATAAAAAAACTAAGGTTTCACAATTACTTTAAAAATAAATACCTTATGACCAGTCATAATTCGAACTTGTGTTCCTGTTAAACAATCCCACAGGCGCACTGTTCTATCACTAGAACCAGTAGCCACATAATTGGAGTTTGGATGAAACTGGACACACTGAAATATAAAAGAAGGTTACTGAAATATGTACTACATAAAGTTCAATTTAATTTCGGAAGAATTTATGATTGATCTATTCTTATCTTGAAAAGTACCCAATTATGTAATTTCTTTCTAAATTGGATTATTTCGCGTTTTATTATTATTTATTTTATTGTTCTGTTGATTTTATTTTTTGTTTTTTGAGTAATATGACTGATCCATGCTGCATGGATTATATTGCAATGTAATTTATGATTATGAAGACATTCAGATACAATGTAAATTGTTTATTGAATAAATGAAATGAAATGAAAATGAAATTTTATTTAGTTTTTGCAGTGCAAGCAACATACGTCAACATCCGATAAATGTCCCGAAAAGATCCGTAGAGGTTGATGATGATCAGTTGCCCACAGCCGTGCAGTGCGATCATGTCCAGAGGTTACAAAGTAGTGGCCGTGCGGAGACCAGCGTACATCCCAAACTGGCCACACATGACCTCTGTATACCACCAAACAAGTCCAGCATTGGAGGGACCACAATCTCACTGTAACAAGGAACTTTAATCTTAGACTCAGGGTATTTTTAAGTTATTTATTATATCATCAGTTAAGTTATTTATCATATTATAGTTCTTAGTTCAGTTAAGTTATTTATTATATTATAGTTATATCATCCCAAACAATATTTTTCCAAAAGTAGAAAAAATACAAATTAACTCACCAGTGGAATCTTCAGAAGCTGACAGCAGCATTGTTTTGAAAGGATCAAAAGCTACTTTGTAGACCGGACCGGAATGCCCATACAGAGATCGACATGTGTCTCTATCTCTCTCTTCCATCATTCTTACAAGTACATCACCTAGAAATGTTTAGCATTCTATTAAAATTTTATCACATAATTATGTAATTTTGAATGCAACATTTATAAGCGCTATTATCCGTTATGGGCCATGTGTCGCAATCGTGGTGCCAAGAACAACTGGCAAATTACAAAGTAATTTATTACCTACATAACATAACATAACATCACGCCTTTTATCCCGGAAGGGGTAGGCAGAGGTACACATTATGCCATGTTATTTTATTTTCAAAATGAATCCTTAAAAATAACCGCCTCGTCGGCTGAGTGGTCGCAAGTGCAAGTCGCAAGTGCCAGGGGGGTCTCGGGTTCGATTCCCGGGTCGGGCAAAGTATCACTGGGTTTTTTCAAAAAATCTCAGTAGTAACACGGAGTCTGAAATTGTGCAATAGGCTCACCCCCTATTACATGGGACTCATAACATAAATAGTGAAAAGTGGGTGTTACATTGTTACAATGTACTGTGTTTACCCCTTCGGGGATTAACTCGTCGAGTACCGTATTTATAGACACATTAAAAAACAATAGGTTGCGGTCACCAGTGACCGCTTGGTGTTTGACAGTTTAAAGGCGTGATGTTATGTTCTGTATTGAGGTCTTCTCTAAGCCGAATTTCCCAACTATTTTTGTAAAAAATGTAGTGTTGGTTGCTTGACTGATCATACAGCAAAGAGTATAATAAGCATAGGGGAGCTATGGTGCCTTAACGAAATAGGGTTTTAACTCCATACCTGCTTCTCTGTCAATGTCAAGTAACTTTTCTGCAGACTTCATTCCACGCAATTTTACTGGAGTCAATGTCCACACCTAGTGTAAAATGTTCTTATCAATATTTTGGTAAGTGTAACACAATTTTAAAAATTATAGTATAATATACTCCATGGGTATGTATAAAATGTACTACCCACTATGGAGGGGTTCAGTTTTAAGTTTCACACAAAATAAAATATAGCACAGTATAAATAGGGTTCCTTGCATACCTTAATACAGGAGTTACTAAAGCCTACAGCAAGTAATGTGGAGCCATCACAAATATCAGTACAAATTGCAGTGTGACCGCTATTAAGCAGTGTGTAGAAACAAATTGATGGTAAACTCTCTGGTCCCAGTTGAATACGCTTGGAGGCTTCTCTTATTGCTTTCCCCTTTTCGATCTTGTCCGTTTCTTTTCTGACAAAAGAAGATAAATTATAATAGACTAAGACACAGATCTTTATGGCTGCAAGGTCAAGACTTCCACTGCTGAACAAAGACTATGTCTGAAAAATACTTACAGTTCTGGTAATGGAATTCTATCATTTGGAGGAGCATTTGGATCGGATTTAGGTTTTTTCATAAATATATTTTCTTTTTTTGCCTTTTTCTTTTTTGGCTTATCAGGTGTTTCTTCTGCTTCTTCTTCATCTTCCACGGGTGCCGGAAGTACTTGAATGTCAGGTTCTTTTAATAGCCCATAGTATACCTTTGTACGATTTTCTGTAAAAATTACAAATAATTGTTTATTTTAAAAGGTTCTCAAAAAATTTATTTGAATTGACATAATTCACTGAAAAATACCATTTCTAGTCGCTTCACCAAGGAGTCCACCCGTAGTAGATCGTACTTGAGCTTGCGTTCTGCCAGGACCGTCATGTACTTCTACCTGAATGTGGTTATTTATGATGTTGATTATTACAGTTGAGCTCTTCTGTTCTTGGAGAAAACGTTTGAGCTGTGATGATGCATCTCTAGACAGTTGTACGACAAACTTATTTGTGCTGAAATATAAAAAGTGGATAATAGATATTGATAAAGTTTTAAAAGAAAAGTAACAAAGAAAAAAACTATTAGTGACAATGTCCTGGTTTCCAAACATACACAGCTTTACCTGTAAATTTCAGCCAACTCATTCCCTTTGATTTGGTCCTTATGTTTGACAATAGACAGCCGCTTTAAATCATCTTGGTAATAATCTTCTTGCTCGACTCCGAATTTTTCCAAAAAATTTGCAGCATGTTCATTATGGTCATATAATATTAGTGCCAGATACATATGAACAAACACTGGATACAAAAGTGTTGACAATTCATGCTGTAAATAAAATAATGAAATTTAATTCAACTTATCATCAACTCAAATAAACTAATACTTTATATAGTGATACATGGGTCGCGAAAGCTCCCTCCTGTCCAATCTAAAAAGGCATCTAAGAAGTAACGATGGAGAGGGTGGAACTGGAAGGCACCCCTATACCATAGTAACTTTTTCTGTACTTACCTTGTAAACATCCAGAGAATTCTCAATGAATTTCTTTAAGTTATCGTAGGCAAATTCATAGCTATAAGGATCACTCTCAGTGTGATGCGAAGTAAGAATACTCGCTAACTCGACTTCTGGAAGGTCTAAATTTTCAAATTCAACATCACCTAAGCTCGCTTCTTTCCTTAAAATATCTTCCGTACCCTAAAAGATCAAAAGTAACACATAAATACCACACAACAATAGTAATTATCAATAAATAACATGTTTAAGTCAATACAAACTTACTTTTAGATTATATTTTCTTAGAAGCTGTAGAACAGCCAAAAGAGGCGTGTTTTTTTCTGCCATTATACAAATACTTGATGTATTTTATTTATGAAATTATTTTTTTTCATATACAATTGTACACAGAGCCATGTACACGGACGACTGTCTGTCGACCTATACTTATTATACTCTTTGCTGTCGACACCACAGGCCACAGACAACATAGATACTACCCTACCACAGAGCATGTAATGGATACTACGTACGTCGTAATACGACAGACAATAATGCCCACATTGTCCACAGATAATATGTTACTACCAGTGTTGCCAAGTTTAAATGTACGGTAGAATTCTTCTTAAAGTATGGTAGATTTTCCGAAATTACGTTGTAAATACTGACACTTTTTTTCAGGGATGCCATTTTTTTTTAAGGGGGGAAAATCATCGAATGACTGCTACCGCCTGGGTGAGGCGGAAGGGAGTGTCAGACTCTTACTGACTAAAAACCACCCCGTTCCTTCTCATGCACGTCGAGCCGGAGCCCCGGTTACCCGTTAAGTTCTCCGCGACTCCGAATCGGCATCGGCCCTATTGGGCCCCATCTGTGGTGGTCTGATGGCTCTTTGAGGCGCGCGCGGAACGCGACGCGCCGTACGCTCGGGTCTGTTTCTGGTCGGACGGGGAGCCACCCATGCTCGCCGTCCGCAGGCCCGCGCTTACGGTGGCCGGAGATCGTCCCGCGATCCCCGACGCCCGGTGTGTCCTTCGCGATGGCTGGGTTGCGAGGAGGCAGCGCTTCGCTGCCTCACGCGTCCCGCCTCCTCCTTAGCTAGCATGACTGCTTCGCAAAAGGAGGAGACGGCATCCCAGTCCCCCTCGCTCCGCATCATGGCTTGCACAAGGCCCGGACGCGAGAAGTCGCCATCGCCGATCACTTCCCTGAGGGCACGGCGGTGCTCAGCCCACGCAGGGCATTCCGCTACGGTGTGTTCCACCGTGTCCTCAGGGCGGTCCTCGCAGTGATGACACCCGGGCGTTTCCTCCCGCCCCATCAGACACAGGTACCTCCCGAAACTTTAATGTCCGGTGAGTACCTGCGTCAGGCGGTAGGTGAGGACGCCGTAGCGTCTCTCAAGCCACTCCTCAAAGAGGGGTCTTACCGCTGCAATGGCAGCGAGCCCATTCAGGTATGCCATAAGGGAGGTTATTAGCTAGCTTTTACCCTTAGACTATTTAACCAATAGACACGTTATAAGTACTTATCATCTATGCAAAAAAGTCTCTCACTTTCGGCGCGGGGGATGAGGGTACGCACACAAGTAGTAATAATACATGAGACGCCACCGCGTTAAGCCCTCTGATTGGTTAGTCCATTGGAGCAGGCCAATCAGAACGCTGAACGCGGTAACGTCTCTATTACTATAAAAGTAAAGAAAACTTGTACTAGGTCATTCTGGAGATCATCATTTTTTTGTCAGCAATGATATCTATAGGTCGAAAAGTGTCGATAATTTGCCATGGACGTAGCTACAGACACTATCTTAAAAATCTATATTATCTATTAGGTATTAACTACAAAAAGTGCTTAGTATTCATAATAAATATATATGTATACTCGATAGACGTCGAGGATTAGGATCTACTTTAAATTCTCTGTATCACTCCGCATAAATATATTTTTCAAAACTTCTCCTACCCATGGCTGTGTTGTTCGTTTTTTAAATGCAACACTCGAAATTCTTTAACATTGTTCGAGATGTTTTGCAGATGACGATCTTACACATTCCAGTGCAACAATTGTGTCATATGTATCTTTACATTTACATTACTAGCCACAGAAGTGATCACGCAGTGTGTACTCCGCACTATGTGTGCGCGGCTTTGGCTAGGCCTACCTAGATACATCATTATTTAGTATTTTTTCGATATCGATTTCGCAGCGAATCGAAATATTTTTTTCTGATCATTGCTTTTTCTTATGAGAACCTTGCCATCTTGAACCCAAATAGGTATATTTATATGTTTTTTTTTTTGTTGTAATTTTGTACCCATAATAGAGTTCTTTTATATAGAGTTAAGTTTTCATTTATGTAAATACGGTTATTATTATTTGTGCTAGTTTTACTCACTACTGAAGTGGTTTCTCCGACCCGGGTTTTTCTCGACCCACCCTCTCAACATGCTCAATATCACCGGTGTTCAATTGGGTTTCTGAGCGATCTGGGTATGTTTTTGATATGTCCTCGTTTTTTTGATTGACTTTTTACTACAGATACTAAAAACTCAAACACAGCCGGCTACACTCGTTAGCCCCAACGTTCGTGCCAACGTTGGACTGTAAATACCGTGAGGCATCCACAGGTTTATTTATTTAAACTTTAATGTACACAGAAACAAGCAGGTAATGGTACATAAGGCGGACATTAATGCCATATGGCATTCTCTCCCAGTCAACCTTAGGGTTAAATAGGGAATCGGCGAAAAAATAGGCATGTGTAATTATAAGAAACAAATATTATATATAGACTTTATAAATATAGATACTAAAAATATTTAAAATATACCTACACTACAATATAAATACAACATAAATATATAGGTGTATATATGCATGCATATGTACTAAATAAATAAATTCTATAATAATACATTATATAATAATAATAGACATAGACTCAGCGTTGTAGTGAATCTGAATTTAAATAGAATTCGTGAACATCGCGTTTAAAAGTGATCTTATCTGAAACCTTTTTTATGTTAAGCGGTAGTACGTTCCATAACTTAATTATACTAACTGTGAAGGAGTTATAAATGAAGGATGTTCGGTGGGACAGAAACTCAAGAAGCAGTTTTTCAGCTGAACGGAGATTACGGCTGTGGGAAATGCCCAGAACCTAGAAGTAAGACTATAGGTTTTCAGCCGCACAAAGATCGTTCAGAATAGAGAAAAGCATGTAGAGGGATCTGAAAGATCATCTCTCACGGACAGGAAGCCATTGTAGTTGATCGCAAAAAGAAGAAATGTAGTCGTATTGACGAAGACCGAAGATAAAACGGGTACAGTTATTGAGCATTCGATCCTATTTGTTCAGAAGGTCTTTGGATAGGTCAGAGTAACAAACATCAGCATAATCGATAACAGAAATCGCAAGGGACCGGACCAGTAACGCTTTTGTATTTGAGGGCAGAAAGCTTTTAAATTTATAGAGAGATCGCAGTGACTTTCCTACTAACCTGTGCAACCTGATGGTTCCAGCTAAAGCTACCATCCAGGTATAGGCCCAAATTCTTCACGTAAGGAGACAACGGCATGACAACTTTATTGAATATTATTGGCTCGAGGTGATTAATATTCAAACGGTTTAAATAAGAGGAACTACCCTCCTTAGACCACTCTTCTATAGTGAGCAAGTTAACGTTAAGATGCTGAATACAGATCCGCAAGTCAGCAGCACCAGCCTGAGCATACAGTTGCAAGTCATCGGCGTACAGATGATAAGAGCATGTAAGAAGCCTAGTGATAGAATTTATGAATAAAGAAAACAACAGAGGAGATAGTATACCGCCTTGCGGTACACCAGCCGTCAGCCCGCACCAGTCAGAGTGTTCCTGGCCTGCTGGCTACCACAAAGATTAGCCGAGAACCACTCCCGAGACGACAACGAGATCCTACGGTAGGTCAATGTGAAGATGTCCGATACAGAAATTGAAACGCTCTGAGCTCTGAGCGCGAGTCACTAATTTTCTTTCAGGATAGGCGATATGTGCTCATTTATGATACTCGCTTTTTTTAGTCTCCAATTGAGAAAATAATTTCATACCTATTCTGTTGATTGGTACGCCATGCATCAGGTAATATTATTTTATTTTTATAAATCCTTTCGAGTAGCGTCCCATTATGAGTTGCCACATTTTTTTACAGGAAATAAAGTATATTGAGCTCTATGAAGACTATTAAACAGTATTTTAGAAAAACAAACAGTCATTTATTTATTTTTATTTATTTTATAAAAACTGCGTAATCTCATCACAATTAAAACTGAAATTAATTTCAGTATAGGTATATAATTGTGATGAAAGTGATGAGAGTTGAAACGAGGAGCTCATTTTTTATTTTTATAGATACTCTATTTCTATTCTCCATAATTTAGTTAGTTTAGAATATAAATGTCGATGCACTTATTGGATGTGCTTGATAAATTTCATAAATTCTATAACTTTTTCATTTGTCCATGCCGGTGACGATTTTGTCGATGAGGAAGCCAGTCTAGCTCGACGTACGCACTTGCTGCGTGTTGCAAGAGAACTGAGCAAAGCGCCAACGTGTGGACGGTATCGCGAACGTTGGCGCAGTTTCCTTTAATGAAACCGACAACTGCCTCGCCCCAACGTTGGGGCCAACACCATTTTCTAGATCCTCACGTTGGCCGAGTAGCCTTGGGGCCAATGTGTAGAGTCGGCGTAAGTGAACTAATGAACCATAGACTATCATGACCAATGACAATTGTTTTTTTTCAGTATCAACAACGGGTCTTTTAAGTCGAATCAAAAAAGCCCGCGGAATTTAAATGTTTATTTAAAAAGTCTTTAGTCATTTTATCTTTCTCCAGTCGTGTCAGCAACCATTAGATTATTGAGGCGTATTCTTCTAAGTAGGTCAGTAAGTTTAATAATTGTATTATAATTATAACCGAACGTTTCCAGAAACAAATCGATGTAAAAAGACCAGTCCAGTTAGACCAAAGGGAGATATTTTAGTGTTTAGGCACATGGGTAAAGAAACGGAATTCTTTACTTATGTGGTTTACACACCGTACACAAACACTGAAGCACTCTGTTTCCTAAGTGCGACTACAATCCGACACGATCGGAGGCAGATTAGGCATAGCACCAAAGTTTTTACGTGCTTTTTCGAGGCATAAACATGGGTCTTGATATATAGGCTGTTTGGTGCATCGCATCCTATGCCCAATTGAAACGGTCGACAGAAGGGGTCAATTGTTTCAACTGCCCTTCAGGTCCTTTAACACCCCTCATGTCCAGTGGATTTTTTTTATCGACGTGTTATTGTTTTACTAAATAAAGACCCAAATTATACATTGAAATACAAATTTAAAGTACTTATAAGGCGTAGATCCTCAATTATGATTTTATTTTGATGTGTATTGTTCAAGAGTAGGTACTTTTAAATACAAAATTAGTGACATTAATCACTACTTTTGTTTTAATTTTTGTTTATATCTTTATGTAAACTTGCCCTCAATACTTTAAAAGAACGCGAGCGAAAGCGTGGGCAGAAGTTAGTCCATGATTCAGCAGTCAGTTAATTAAATTCATATCCTTTCTTTAAAATCTCTGATTCTGATGCAGCTAATTACTAATAATTAGTCTTTGAAAATTGTTTTCTATTGGCAGTCAAAGGATTAACACATTGGATGCCGTGTCGGACAATGATGTCCGACGCTAGTGGAGGATTGGCCTTTCCTACCAATTTTAAATGTTGCTGTGCCCGACAGGGTCCATAATTGTATTTTCTAACCACCTGTATATGTACATTATGGTTGCAATAAATACTTTATTACTTGATTACTTACAGTTTTTGTCGGCAGTTAAAGGCTTAAGCTATAAGGAGTATGGTATGGTATGGTACCATAGCCTTGGTATGTAGTATTTTCACACATCGAGTTATATTATTATAATTTCCACACGGTTTCTTTTTCTCTTTTATTAAATATAGCCTATGTTTATGAATAATGTAGGATTCCAACAGTAAAAGAATTCTTTAAAGTGGTCCGGTAGGGTCGGAGCCTATTCAATTCAAACAAACAAACAAAAATCAAATCTTTCTTCTTTATACTATGTACAATTATTAAGGACTGGGTTAAGTATCATTAAATAATATTCTGAGTCTCTGAGTACAGCGGTTAGTAAGAAAACAATCATTAAAAATAGGTGTTTATTGGATAAGCTAATGAAACAAATGTACTTTTATAATGATAATTCCTGAAGACAATGGCATTCATCAAATATCAAACAACTAGTATTATGTACTGCAATAAAATTATAATGACATTTAGTATACAAATAAATAAGTAAGTATTCGACATTTTCATTGAATCGCGCTAGATTTCTTTATTAAACTATGAGAAAAATTCCTAAAAGCAATACTATTACAAATATTGTTTGCCTAATGCGATGATTTTAAGAAAACTTGTATCTAAATATTAATATTGTTTATAAAAACGATCAAGTATTTAATTGAAGACAAGGATTCTGCTTAGCAATTTATTACGTCTATAATCAGGTATTTTATTGAGATATGTCTCACAGATCAATCAATAAATCTTTCCCATTAATCGAGAAAATATAACTAGCAAGGACATTAGCGTTAGTCTTCCCGATAGAAATAATAAACACATCTTAAGATACAAAATGTAGTGCGTAACATTAATTGTTTATTCTTATTTAACACCGTAGCAAATGTACACTAATTTACGTCTGAAACACGTCAGTCTTAAGATCCGTCTATTATTACCAGTGTAGTGACATACATAACTATTTACATTACTAACTAATATTGCGTTAGGAGACTCAGTGGCAAGTATCGCACGCATCAACATAATCTCTTAGCTACAGCTTCATTTAGTTGTCAGATAGCAATACTTTACCTTGGCACCTAGATAATAAGTAGTTAGTAGTTACGTTACTATAGGTAGATCTGAATGTACTCTGTACCCCGACTCTCTATCAGAAGCTTTAGTTTGATTGAAAAACTTTGCCTTGTTATCTCAACGCTGCGATACTTACACTTTTTAAATAGGGTCAGTACTAGTGTTCCTAATACTACAATTTATCTATTATTGGTCGTTGATAAGGTAAAGCTATTTATTTATCCAGTGCGTTTTTATTTCATCATTTATAATTTGGCGTGCTTGTAAAACACTTTTAAAATAGCCCGTAGAAGATCTCGATTGCCGAAAAGGCGGTAGGGATTTACGCTACGTATTTTTCGGAAGACCTCTTTATCTGTTGTACCGAGGAGAGGTCCCTACCTATCCAATTTCGTTAGCATTACGAAACCAGTTTCTCGGTTAAAAGAGAGCAGAATATATCAATTTGTTTGGTAGGCTAATACAACTTTCGAATAAAAACACACTGTATAACTGTAATAATCTTAATTTTATAAATATTTATTTTATCTTAATGACATTAAGTCGTCCTCAAAGGTAATAAATACTAAGTCCTAGGTATTTATTTAAAGGAATTAAGTTTATGCCTTACCTAAACGTTATACAACGTACAATTTACTTATTGATCAGTAATAATGGAATCAATATTAAAAAAGCGTTGAGGATAGGTTCAATAAACATCATATATTATTTACCTATGTAAATGCATAAAACATGTATGTATGTAAGTAGGTACATAGTTTGACATCTAAAGAAATATGTAAGTCTAATGTCTATTCTTAGACAAAAATATCAAATCACATCTAATCGGACGATAATAATAATAATTAATTACAGGGTAAAATTTATAGGTTCTAAGTAATATTAATACTAATGTATTAAAGCTTGATAACAATAAATACTAACTATTTAGATCGATGACCTCAGTTAAGTGAAACGTTGGGGACATTCTAATCTAATTTAAAAACTTAGTTTATCGAACCCGGCGCCGTAGCCACAAAAATGGTAAACATTAAAAACATTAGTATTTTTTACTTATGTACATATTTGTATACTGAATAGAAACTAAGCTTACAGGCTGCCTAATGGTATGTTGAAAATAGCCTATATATAGGTACGTGCACCCCATCATAAGAACATTACGAGTGCGTTGCCGACCATATAGGGATTGTTTGATTATACTCTCATTTTTTAAACTTCACTCTCTTGTTAACCGACTGTCTCTCCTAATTACAAAATAATATGAGTGGTACCTTTTTTTTAGGAATTACTATATATATTACACAACAACGAAAACAATAAATTGGACTGAATCTCTCGCAGGTGTTAATTAAAGAAAACCTATGTTGTTAAATCAAACATTAAATTGGCTCGATTATCGGTAAATTTTAATTAATTTTATATTCTTTTTAATAAACCCAGACTTTGTAATCTGTGGGTACGTGCCCAAAGGGTTTTAGTTTTAACTAGTATTATATAAAGGCAGGTTTTAATAGCGTCAGTCACATTTCTCAATTTGTTGTAATATGCAATATTAGATAGTCTAGACAGTATCGGTCCATAGGTACTAGCAGATACAATACGAAGTAGGTAGATATGTAATACATTGTATGTAATATATTATGCGCAAAAAGTTAATTAAGGAACGGTCATAGATAGTAGTGGTGTCGTAGAGCAAACAATACTTATGTTTACAAATTGATTAGATATGGTAGGTAAGTAATGCGGGGCTATTGTGTCCCGGCCGAGACTGGAGTGAGATAGATGATTATTATTTATTATTATTATTAGATCCTTGGCTGTGTGTGGCTGGATCAAAAATGTTATTTAGGTACATCTATTTAATGTGTATCAATGTTGTTTGGGCGCAATAAGTGTTTTTTTTATTAACTTTGAATAAAATTTCACTATATAGGAAATTTCCACAAAGTAGCTGATCACAAACATACAACACCGCGCCGAGTTCGATTTAAGGGTTTAACAAATTTCAACAATCAACAAAAATATGTTAAAAAGGTAACAAACAGTCTTTTCAAGAATTATCTTAACCTGATTAATATTCTAAATTCTAAGTAACAAAAAATGTTCGAGAACGACATTTTTAGGTTAAGTTAATTTTTGAAGTGAATAATGGTTTTAGATAGGATAGAGTTAAGATCTTGGCTAGAACAGTTGTGCGCGTCAAAAGGTTTAGGCGCCACGTCTTCATACGGCGCGACGCGGGCAGCCGCGAGCTCGCGCGCTACCTTCTCCGCAGCTCCCATCACACGAAGGAGGTTCAGACCTGCTAACTTCTTAAGTTCCTCTATACTCCAACCTTCTTCCATCAACTCAGCGAACAGCAGTGGATACGACGAAATAAATAAATACATGAATACGTCACAACAATCATAAAATGACATTACCCCTGATAATGATAGTGTCTGAGCATAAAAATCTTTCAAGAAGTTTATAAAAACAATTTTTGATTCAAAAAGTTAAGAGGAAGTCGACTTCCGTAGGTATAATGGCCTACAGAACTATTAAACTTTTGTTCAAAGCTTTATCCTTTATAAAGCTTCACGCTTTAGGGATTTAGATTTTTATTGCTTTTGGTGCGGTATAATTTTAAACTCTTTTGAGAAACTTGTATAGGTATTAATATGAAAATTTCAGCAGTTAGTGTTTAAATAAATAACAATTACTAAATAAAACACACTTTGATTAAAATACTTATAACGTCACGCTTTTTGCGCTTAGAGATAGATAGAGTGTACATAATGGCACATAATGCCACATTAACAATTATGTTATGAATATAACCACGTAATAGAAGCTTATTGCCATTACGGGAACGATTCCAGAATACTATAGAGAATTTTTCTAAAATTAAAACATTTTAATATACTAATAGTTTGTCTGAACAGGCAATCGAACCCCTTGCTCGACAACTCGCCCATGCGACCATTCGACCAACGAAGCAGAATAATAATTAGTATAAGTCAACATTATTAGGTATCTAATTGTAAAGGTATTCCTATTGGGAGATCACCACTCGTACATTATAGCAACGTGTACTCACTAATTAATGCCGTCGTAACCAGCGCCAAGGCCTACACTGTCCACACCGGCTACATCCCTTATATGATTAATGTGTGCTGTAAGAACAGAGTATCGGTTAATTAATGACCTTTGAAAACATTATTCAATGTAAAATTTGTATGGGTCTTGTATTTTTTTACATTTGATTTTCATGTTCAAACGTTTCTTTTCATGATGCTTACACGTGTAGGTAGTGCTACTCACCAATGGCATCTTGAACTGTTGCAGTGTCCTTACAAGTGAGGAACGACGTATAAAAATTGACCATGATGAGCCCTTTGTTAGCGGCGAGGAGGCGCAGTACAGCGTCCGGTACGTTGCGCGTCACGTTGCAGAGCGCGCGCGCCGACGAGTGTGAGAACAGCACGGGCGCGCGTGACACCGCCAGCGCGTCGCGCATCGTGCGCTCGGACACGTGCGACAAGTCCACCAACATGCCCAGGCGATTCATTTCCTTCACCACTATCTGTCCCACCGATCAACAACAATTTGTTAACATTAGATTGATGACCTGTAATAAGACCAGCTACAAAGGAAAATGCGTAGGCTACTCTGGCCATTTTAATTGAGTTTTTTCTTCTATTCTTTTATCGGAAAATAGAGGCTACGTCATTTACATAAAGGACGAGAAGAATGTTTTATAAAACGTGCCGGTATAAGCTATTGAAGTGAACTGCAAACACAGTTCCGGCTGGTTCTGGCCGTTTGCATATTTATCATAAAGTAAGTCTCTATTGTTCCTACCGCTTTTGAAGTTCGTATGAGTTTGCGTTGCTTTAAATTAATTGCTAACTTCTTGGAACCTTTGTGGTCGTGAATTCAGAAAGCCGACGAAATTACAAAAGCGACAAATTGTCGTAGTTAGACTTTATAGTTTCTGACGTCAGTGTCACCCGTTTGATTAAATAGTCCTAAATTGTTGTTAAAGTGCTTAGGTATTTGCAACGTCTACTGCTGTACGGGCGACGGGGGTATGGCCGAGTATTGCGGCGTCAAGTATTGAAAGTCATTTACTACTATCATAAAAGAGAATGAATATTGATGGCAATCTGATAATACATATAATTTACGAGCGTTTCTTAACATTTTCGAGGGTAATTTTCAATGAATTTCGATTTATTAGAGTTAACTATCAAGAATTCAAGGTAATAGAGTAACAACTCAATTATCATTAATGACAGGCTAACATAGCTACTACTTATATTTTACAGAGGTTTTAAGTTGTTGAGTTTTACTTTACAGCGATCGTCTATTAAGATAAGCACCGCGGGGTGGTTACGTTATGAAAGGAGAGAGAACTTGTATTGCCACTTGTGAGGTGCATAATGTACAGTACGATTAATTACAACAATAAAGTGAACTGTTGTAGTGAGAGCTATGTGTGTGTAAATCGGTTGGGGTAGTAATGCCCGACTACTTGAGCTCGAGTTGAGAGTACGACGTAGCAGGCAGGTACGTTACACCGTACACGCAGTGTGCAGTTTAAACAAAAGAAAATATTTCGAAAAGTATCGTTGCAGGTAAACAAAGAACTGGTTTCGCGAGCAGCCCGAGTTCATACAAAGAGAAATATTGCGGTGCGCCAGGATGTTTATGATTATGGCACACTCACTCTACTCGACGTCTCAATCTTTACGGTTGCGTTCTGACTACTTAGCTATAATATACGACTACTTGTATGTATTGTTATATTTCTTCGTATGTTGTCAGATTGCTCTTTGTGAGCACCTACGTTACCAACGTGCCTTACAAATTGCTTTGTAAATGCTTTATAAAGAGTTTTTAGGAGCAATCTTCTCTGGTTACAAACTCTAAATTACGTCGAGCATATACCTAAGACAATAAATTCACCCCTAACGAGCTACCATTGTACAGTCTGCGAGGAGGATTATAACTTCATCTAATCTTAAGAGATTTAAGAAAGAATTAAGGGGAGATAACTCACAATTGGAGAGAAGCATCTTAGGCCTAAAGATCAAAGATAAACAGAAAAGCACTGTTATTAGACGCAAAACCAAAATTATAAATGCCATAACGCATGCACTGCGGTTGAAGTGGAGATGGGCTGGCCACATGATACGAACGAAAGGTGAACGATGGACGAAACTCGTCACAATATGGAAAGGTCCAACAGGCAAGAGAGCTAGAGGCAGACCCATAGACCGTTGGACCGATGACCTTCGAAAGGTAGCAGGAGACAACTGGATGGATACAGCAAGAGATAGAGTACATTGGAAACGGTTGGAGGAGGCCTATACCCGAGAGGGGCCATGACTTAATATTAAGATACTAAATTAAACATTATTACTTTTTTAAACTTTATATCAGGAATGAGTCAAACTTTTTTTTTTTATATTTTGAAACACTTATGTAATAGGATTAGGTCAAGGAAATAAATAAAGGCTTATTATTATTATTATTATTAACTCACAATTTTAACCCGTAAGAATAATCAAAGTTTTAATGTTTCACTTTTCAATCTGCATTTTAGATGTTTTATACAATTTTGATTAAATTGTAATTAGATCGAATCCTTTGTCTAAATGTTTTTTAATTCTCCTGCAAATCCAGTTATAAACATAATTCGTAATTAACTCGTCGAGTACCGGTTTTATAGACACAATTAAAGAACAATAGGTCGCGGTCACCGGTGACCGCTTGGTGTTTGACAGTTTAATATTAACTACAGTTATAAAAACCTTCATTACTACGTTTGTTATTCAAGAACCGTAGCTGCTACGTTTCGCGTAGCACCGTAGACGCTCGTAGCAGTCCATAGCATTTTACGTAGCAGGACTTACCTTTCCGAACGGCGTAAGTCCACCTCGCGGCGATGGTTCAGGTTTATCTCCAGACGCGCATTCAGCCCAAGGCGTATCACATGTAGATGTAAGCGTCAGATATCGAACTCCAACTTGGTACAGCGTTCTCAGGACGCCAAGGGAGCCTCCTATTGCATGCCCTCCCTCCACTCCCACCAAAGAACACAGTCTGTGGTTGGTATGCGCCGTTATTATATCTATGATAAGAAAACCAACATTAAAAAGAAAGTGGTAAATAATCTAGATACACTAATTTTATAAAATGAAATGTTGAGATAACTAGACTACTTTACGTTTACCTACGTACAAAAATAGTAGTTTCGTGTAACTAGTGATCAGTAATAATATTAAATCAAATATTTGTCTACATGTAAATGGATACTAGTACCGTACTAGTCGATTCTTTCGTGAAGTAACCACATTGTTATTTCTTTTTGTAATCAAGAAAACAAAACAGTAAATGAGTGCATTGTTAAAAGTCACACTTTGGAGATAAGTAAATATTTTGTTACGTTTTTTTTCTTTACGGATTCTGGAGAGAACAAAACATCAAACAAATTGTCAGTGTAAAGTGGGATTTTGAAAAAAGACAGTTACGGCAGGAAAATGCTTAACGAGGACAACGCTCATGGGGGACTGTCCTCAACACAAAAGCCCAAAGTTGCAGTTACAGACTTTTACACACACAATGGTGGGTACTACACCACATCTTTAATTAAGAACATGAATGTAGAGGTCAGAAATATTCGACGTTATTCACGAAATAAAAAGATTCTCGCGTTATATTAAGCCGTTTTTTTCGATAAGTTGCGATTCTGAGTCTATTATATGGTAAACAGCTCACCTCCGATTATGGATTATGTAAAAATATATATTTTAGTTATAAATTGTTTGCAATACTATAAACATTTCGTATTAAAACATATACGAAAAAAAATATATTTAAACACGTTTTCATTATCTAATATCAATTGATTAAGACTAAGTAGAATGACTTTTTGAATTTTGTCATCATTCTAATATGAGTGTCATGATTGCTTACAATAATTGTACTTAATATGTACTTTAACAATTGATTAACGTCTTTCACAAGTACCTGGAGTTTTGTATTAATTTACACAAACACCACCGCGTTTCGAATACCTCGGTGCGACATTGTTCGCGATCCAATGTTAATAATACACTTAACGTGATTAATGGACTGAGAGCGATAAGGAATTCCAATAGATGCTCTAACTGGAGCCAAGTGATCATCTCCAGCCTCCAGCAATACATGTAACTCTGCTTTATATGCTGCTCTACGACATCATAGTCAGTTAACATATACCACACTATTTAATTAGGTCATTAAACTTTATTGTGATTGGTTTATGTAATGTAAAACGAAATAAAAAATATTGAATGTATTATGAAATAATGTAGTGTTGATTCTAACGTGGTTTAAACTGGTTTATTGTCTGTTTTCTGCA